CATACACCGGAGGCTTCTTTGGAGGCTCATATACTGGTGGTTTGGGTTTTGGCTCTTCTTTCTTTGGAGGTGCATAAACTGGTGGCTTTGGAGGCTTAGGTTCTGGCTTTTCCTTCTTTGGAGGTTCGTAAACCGGTGGCTTGGGCTCCGGCTTCTTTGGAGGTTCGTAAACTGGTGGTGGTTTGTAAATTGGGGGTGGCTTCACCTCGGGAGGTTTGTAAACAGGAGTTGGTGGTTTCCCATAGCCGGGTGACTCGTAGGTACCAAGGGAGGGAGTGGTGAGAACCACCACTCCCAGGAGCAAAACTAGTAAGTGTGTAAGAGACATCTTGGAGCTCTGTCTTTCGATGGTGCAACGCGAAGCCCTCCTTTTATAGTGGTAAAGGAGCCTTTTGGTTAGTCCAGGTGTCAAAAATTCTCTCGTTTCATACCTTACCACATAGTGAGCTAGCTAGATTTGTCAATATTTGAGTGATTCATAAATGTAATTGGGTCCATTTAGGTCCCACTTAGACAAAAATTTGGACTATGAATACAAGGCCCTTATTCATGATTAAAGAAGATTAGCAGGGTGGTTCTTTTAGCAGTGAGTGTTCCTTCTCTTTCCATAAGGTATTAGTTAGCATCACTCTTTTCATCTTTTTCATTTATGAAACATGCTTTTTCTTTTCCTGCTAAAAGAGCCAATATAATGGTAGGGAATTCCCCTTTATATCTGCTCAACAACTTTTTTCTAACAAAGATAAGAAGCTTAAGGCATGAAAATAACTCAACAAGAGACTGAAAGTGAAGAGAGTTTCTATAAACAATGCCTCAGGATAAAGCTGCAAGAAGATTGCGGGACTGCACATCTTCTAATATCACAAAAGGTGTTCATCTAGGAAACCTTTTTACTCCAATTGGTATGATTTTTACTGTTTTCATGTCCTGTAAAGTCTTGGTTGCTACAAGAAATATAGTAGAAGTGTTTGATGACAGCAAATTTCCTTCTGGACTGCAAACGTTGTTATTAATTTCAAATGTACTGCCACAGCTATAAAAAAAAAAAAAAAAAAAAGTCCCCCATGAGAAGGTTGGTACCTTCCGCTTGCATGTTCTAAGTTTTGCTTGAGGGAGATTATTTTGGCTAAAATCTAACAACATTGTTGCCAAAAGGCAACTTCATTATTGGTGGAAGCTTTTGTTGTCTTGTTGGGAAATTTACACAAATGCGGCACTCACCTCCTTACTTCTTCCATAGTTAACTACGAGTGAGCTTATTTGTCGGTATTGACTTTTATGATGAACACCCTTTTTCTCTTTCTATATTTTGTTTTCAGTTACCTAATTCCTTGTAGTTGTCACAGGGCAATTCAACTAGTTTTTGCATCTAATGGTCTTTATTGACTTTTAGAAGTAATATTTTAACCTTCCTGTTGATTGTACCTTAGTTGAACTAAGTTCCAGAAAAACAGCTTTCTTTCACTATCAGTGTCTGGGTAGCTTAGCAATTTAGTCTTATGGATTCCTTATTAACCTTGCACTTAAACCGCAGGCAAATTACTGGAAGACTGAGAATAGATCTTTTTCCGCTAATTAAGCTGTTTGAGTGGCTCAATTATGGAGAGAAATTAATTTACTCTATAAGTGAGGCTATATTGAAGAGAATCTGAATTGTTTACGACTACTTTGTTCTCAATAAGAACTTTGGCTGCAACGTTTGACAGTTATTGTTTTTATTGCCCTTACTCTCATGACAGAGCGCTTTAGGCAGGGCAATCTGGTTCATGAACACTGCTCATAATTACAGTTTAATTCCAAATCCTAAATTGCATGTTAATAGCATTATGAAGTATGTCATAAATTTTGTACAATACTTTAAATCAGGAAAAGACAGTATTTGGACTTGGGATCTCTTCCCGGAAGTACGCCCTGGTCGCTATGAAGCTTCCAGAAATTTGTTGTCTACACGCAACACTGGATTTGGCATAACTAATTGTGATGAAATATGAGCTCTTAAAGCAGATGAACAATTCTGTGAATCGGCTTAATTAATTTTCATGAAATCGGGCAGCTTAAGGCTTATTCCAAACAATTTAGATGAGGAGTTCGACCAGAGTAAAGAAATATTTCATTATGTACCACCTTGTCCTGTAATTAGGTGATTAACATATGAATTATAAATTTATAATCACTCTCCTGAATCGAAATTCGGCAGATTTCTTTTGTAGTTTTCCCCCCTCATCTACAGGTTATTATATACAAAAACCTGCTGGTTTTTAAAAAAAAAAATTAAAAAAACATGCGGGTTCTGTGCTTGTATGTGCTGGCAGAAGAAAAAGCTTAATGGTGACAGACCAACAGTCAGTGAGAAAGACTGGCATTTTGCAAAACCGACGGGCTGCTTAGTAGGCCTAGCTTACCTACCCTTCTTTTTGATAAAATTGTAAAAAAAATTAAAATTAGATGAACGTTCAAGTCGTAGCTTATCCAATTAGTACGAAACACAATGTTTGAAATACATGATTGATTATGAATGCCATTATTATTGGTTTTTGATTTTTCTGACTCTGGCAATGGATCTTTCCACCAACCATATCTCCATGCATGAAAACGCAACAAAAATATTGAACTTAAGAGGTTTAGTTGAGGTCAAAAAGCCAGAAGAAAGGGCTGAGAGGGGGAATTGAAACAAAGAAAGCGAAAAAAGAAACAGACCTTGACTGGAGAGGAAATATGAATATAGGTGGAAATAAATAAGTATCCATGGAAATCAACTGCATGCAGTAACAAAGTGGCTTGTGAGGCTCTTCAGCTTTCTCCATTATTGGAGGGTGTCCAGGGTAGTTTCCATAGGGTGGAGATGGTTTGGGTGAGGGTAGAGCTCTTGGCTTATGCTCAGGAGCCGGGGTATGGGGTTTGGGAATTGTGGCTGGCTTTTCAACGGCTTGTCCACTGGTGGTGCTGGTCCTATATTTGGAGGTAGAGTTGGTGCAATGGATGGTTTTGGCCCTAACTCTAGGAGGTAGATCGAGCTAGTGGATTGTGCTCAGGATTTAGTTTCTCTGCTTTAGGAGGCTTTCTAACTGGGGCTCCTGCCTCGTGCTCTGGCACTGGCTCCTTAGTTGGGGGATCCAAGTTGCCCGGAATGGGTGGTTTGTGCTCATATTGAGAGGTGGCTTTGAGTAATCAGCTAAACAGGGTGCGCTAAGAACCACTGAACCGATAAACAACATAAACAAGTATACATAAGAGACATCTCTGCACTTTGGTGGTGTAAAGATAATGGTTCAGAACATGAAAGAACATACCATTTTGTAATGCTTTCCCGCCCGGAAAGCTGTATACATGTTCAAATTTCGTTCAGTTGGTGTCATGCGCAGATTACAAAATAAGTTAAACTATATAATTTGCAGAGCTTAATTAAGGCAATAAAATGGTTCATTTGTTTCCCTTAGAGATGAACATTTGAACAGTTGGGAAAATCCTGTTTCTAAGAAAGATGAGGGACGGAAAGTTCCAACCTCCAGGTTAAAATCCATTTTAGTTGCTCCCTCACAATCTACCAACTTTTCCCCTTTCTTCATCTGTTTCCACGTTGATCTAAATCTCTAGGTGAGTATTTGTCAAAGCAGCCATCATGGAAAATGTCAACAGCGCTTGGACAGTGGCAAGGCATTGTTTAGGCCAAACAGAACAAAAAGGGTTGATGCTACAATTAAGGTAATTACCAAAGAACTTTTACTCCTATTATTTTTCTTCCGTTTTGCCCGAATTCCAGTATGGGTCACTTACTTTGGTCGCTTTCATAGACTGTGATTTCTTGTAACTCAAGATTTTCTTCCATGGCCTAATATTTGACATTCCGCATCCGCGTTTCTTGATTTCCCATATAGATTGCGACATTGATGGCTACTTGTCAGTCACAGCTGGTATAGTTTCATCGTGTCAGTCAGTGCCTATCATTTCAATCTAAACATGCAAACAAACCCAAAAAATGAAGAATAAAAAAGCATAGCATAGTTTATCACATAACTTTGGACTTAACAAAACTTTTAGTATTGTCAAAGACTTTCGTTACTTGTTGGGATGAATTCTGGGTACAAAGTTGTCAATATTGGAGGTGTAAACAAGAACTCTCATTTCCAGACTCTAGGCTACCTCAAGTATGTTTCCAGTAACGAACGTGTAGGAGCTTTGACATTGTAGATGGTGGAAAATGTGCAGAGAGAACAGAATCCCATAGTCTGTAGGTGGAGATTGATTGAGAGAGATACAAAAATTGTGTATTTACAAGTCATATTTGCTCATTTACAAAAGAAAATAAAATATTGAATGTAGACTATTCCCATAGAAAAGAACCCATAACTACTCATCTCTCTTGCCATAGTCTCTCTCCGTGATATGACTCCGTCAAGATCCATGAATTAGTGATATCCTTACTTCATCCTTTAATTGTGAGGCCAAAAATAAAACACATACAACAGGAACCAATACACTGGAGGTGTAGCTGTGTAGTCTACATGTTTCAGAACCCAGAAGTTTCCGGTCCGGAAAATATGCCACTTTTTCTTATATCCTTTGACTAATGTATGTAAATAAAAGAAAATATAGATTTGATATGTCGGTGCACTGCATATGTAGTAATCTTCTCGATTGGATTTGTTCCTTATTTTCAATGGACAGATGCTGGTAGGTTTTCTGGGTCTCAACTGAAGACTTTATTCTCCATGCAGGGCAGGTGAAATTGAAGAATTTTGTGAGGAATATTCATACAACGAACCATGGTTTTTCTCCAGGAATCTACGACCAAGGAAAACAAATCATGGTGCCATATGTCTTCATGCATGTTATTATAACTACATCATCTTCTTAATTTCTGATACGACTCACTCACAGATCCAATCAGTGTGGTTGCCAAGAATTTGTCTACTCCTAACTGGCTTATCCTTTTTCCTTTCTTTATATTTTTCCCCTAGTGAGAGGTCCAACAACTCCTTAAATTATTATATCTTCACTTTTTCATCCATTCAACCAACCACGTATAGTGTAATGTTTTTGTTATTTAATTTCTGACCTTGAAAAATGACAAAATTGGTTAAGTTACGGATTTAGCCACGTATTTATTGTTTTCTTTATTGGTGACTGCAGCCTATTGGTGTCCTCCGACGCCCCTGGCCATGCAAGGACAGGCTCTGGGCCCGTAAGCCCTGCTGCTCATCAATAATTCTAACTTGAACAAACAATATTAAACCTAGGCCCAACTTGATGATTATTTTATTATGAAGATAGATTTTTTTTATATAATTAAGAGATGGGAATTTAAATTTTATTTTTTAGATAGAGCGAACATATAGCAATAAATAAGTTAAATATTTAAATACTTACTACGAAGATAATATTTTCTTTCAGTTAGTGGGGTGCGCTAGGCTCCAGCTATAATGCAACACTAGCGGGACGTGCGAGAGCACCAGTAGCGAGCTACTATGGTGGACTCTCTCCCTAAAAAAATTGATTTAATATATCATGCGGACCGATGGCCCATGAAGATAGTCATTGCTGAAAAACATAAAAATTTCATCTATGAAATTTAATTTGTCGGATCAAAATTGAAAACCCGAATAATTTCAAGGACGAGTTATTTCCAATTCAGATTATTCGAGTATGATATTCCAATATTTTTTATTTAAAGTATTAACTTATAAAATTATGTTATATTTTATTAATAGTACTTAAATTATTTATTATCACATTTTTTGTTAACTTGTAGCATACCTTCAATTTTGGTTTTTGATATCATAAACAAATTTAAAAAAATTTTAAATCATATAAAGAGGAAAGAAACAAGTAAATCAAAAGTTATTAATTAATTAATTAATATTAAAAACAATAATTTACTTCTAAATAAATTATAAATTGTTTTTTATTGAATGATGTTAATTTTCACTTTCATTACACAGATTATTATTAGTCATTCACCGTAATTATTGTTCAACTTACAATTTAAAATGTCGGTCCTAATTGTAAAATAAGGTATAATTCTCTCTTTAATTCCTTTAAAGTTAACGTCTATTACCTCAAACTTTAAAAAATGAAAAAAAATATTTTACCTAATAATTAATCAACGTCAACAATGCAAATTGGTTCAATTCAAATTTCAAAACCAGAAATAGCTTAAACCTAAAATGACTCGACTCAAAATTAATTAATGATTAGTTAAAATATAATTTCTTTTTACTTGTAGTATTTAACATGCATGCGGAGGTTAGCATTTTGTGCGGGCCTAGTCCAACTCTTGGAATTTAAGTGGGTGCAGCCCATTGTCACAAAAGCACAAAGAACAAACAAGAAAGGGAGTTCTTCATAAAATAAAAACGAACAAAAAAAAAAGGGAATTGAAGATGGTTTATCAGGATCGAGCTTATATGCACAATAATTCCTTCTCAGCATCAGGCTTTCCTGTCAGCTTCGGATCTTATTTCATTTTATGTTGTAAATTTTGTCTTTATCTTCCCTAAAACTGTTTGATGCTCTGTAGTGATTCTGTTTCCTTGTAGCAGGGTCTCTCCTGAATTTTTTTTTAAAGATGAATACAATGCATTTATCTGCAAAAACAAAAGTTGGGTTATAGTTTCAGCCTTTGAGGCTTGCTGGGCTGCAAAGAAGCTATAGAGAGAGAGAGTCGATCATCATATCAAAAAAGTTTAATGCTACAACTAGAGAAGAAATTAAGAGTGTCTATTACACAAAGTGAAAGCATATACATATATATATATATATATATATATATATATATAT